CCACTCCCCCTACTTGTGTTCCCTCTCTCGCTATCTCTTTCTGTCAAATAAATAAATAAAATCTTTAAAAAAAAAAAAAAAGCTAAGAACTCTAGAAAAATATGTGTCTGTTCAACACACACAAGATTCTGAATGTAGTTTCAGATGAGGTTTGTGTTCAACTAGGAATCATAGACCATAAGGTAAGAAACCCGTATTCAGATATTTTGTAAAACGTGTGCATAGAAACAGAAGTCCTTTGCATACTCTCTAGTAGTTGACTCTCGGGAGGCAGTAGACGCCCCTCTCCTGCCCTGGTGACTTGCCGGTTCCCACCACCACTGCCAGCCTCTGTGCTCCTTCCTGAGTCAAAATGGCAGATTCCTCTCCGGCTGAGGTGAGGGCAAGCATAAGGGCTAGCGGGAGCCTCCCAGGATATGTAAGTCTTGTTGGCAGGACTGAGGACCTTGGAGAGAAAAGACTGTAGACTCAGTTGATGTCGACACTTCTAGAGCAGCGAAAACCGAGCCAAAAGAATCCATCCCTCAGACGGTGTGCTGGGCTTCCAGCCGTGGCTGACAGAGACGGTGGGTTCCATGACCTCCACTGAGCAGGACCCAAAGATGGGGCCCCTCACCTCTGAACAGGCAGGTATTTAGCATGAGGGCTGAACCAGAGGGTGCCTGGGACATGCATGTGGAGGGCTGAAAAGAAGCAGATGGGAAACCAGGGCAGTGTGGAGGGAGCTAGGGGCTCTGAAGAGGCAAGAAAGCTCAGACCAAGGACTCTTGCCAGATGGGGCAGTGGATAAGAGCACAGACTTAGGAGTTGGACCCTAGCTGGGCCTCACTTTCCTCATCTGTAAAGTGGGAATAATGATCTCCACCTGACATGACTATTTGCAGTCTCACGGGTGGAACTTTGGGGATGGTTCTTCACCCGGAACATGAGTCCCCCTCCTCTTTACCTGAAGACCTCTCAGTCCTTCAAAAATTTGCTCAGGCATCACCACCTCCAGGAAGCCTTCCAAGACCACCCCTCCCAAAGCTGAAGTGTGTTCCCACGGCTGTTGGTACCACACTATATTCCTTGTTGCCTTTCCTGAATCTTTCCGCTGTTTCTTAGCACAGTGCCCGAAATGTAGCGGGTCCTTGATATAGGGAGTCAGTGAATGACGAAATGAGTGAACAGAAACGGTCAGACAAGGAAGGAGGCAGTGAGTTTAGCAATGGTCAGCAGGAAGTTTTTCACCCTGAGAGGCTCTAATAACAGATAGCTCAAATAGCTCTGGGAAAATTATTTCAAATCAGTTCAACTATTTGTCTACATTTCCTACTGGGAATCACAAGCCAGGCTAACAATTCATTTACGCTATTACAGATGAGGGGCCTTGAGCATTTTCACATCTTAGGCATCTTTTGGTCTTCAGACTCATCTGAGCATTTTTAGAGGTTTTTAGCCCATTCAACTAGGGCATTTCTGCATTATTTGACTAAAATAGTTCTAAACAGTCTAAAAAATTAGCCAACTGGGGGGACAAAAAGATGGTCAAAATGAGAAAGAAAATGCTTAAAAGAGCCTGAGATTGGCCTGTTAGATATAAAATGAAGATTTTATAAACAGTCATCAAATGTGTGGTGGTAGGCAAATTCAGCACGAGGGAATTCCTTCTAGAGAACTGGTTTTTGTCCAGGCAGCCGAGGGCACTGATGAACACTTCCATCTGTGAGCCAGGGGAGGAGGACACCGCGGCTCCCCAGGGCTCCCCAGGGCTCCCCAGAGCCCCTACGTCAGCTGGTCCAGGCTCCTGCAGGAGCGGGTCAGGCTTGGACAGCGGCCCAGCCCTCTTGCTTTCTTCCCACGTCCAGCTTCTGCAGGCCACCACTCTAATTTGCAGGTTCCAGCATCTTGCTGTTCCATTTCTGCAGAACACAGAGGAAGCAGGGCAGTCCAGGATTTAGATTTCAGATCCATCTGATTTCTAACATTTTGAATTGAAAGGAGCAGGGGATAAAAATGGTTTTTCTCCTTTTTTCTTTTAAACTTGCGAGATTCTTCCCAGTAAAACTATTCACAGGCACCAACATGCATATTCCTCCACTTGATGACCTGGTTTGTGAGCATATATCATATCCGAGGCCCTGCCTACCCCCACTTGCATGGGCATACACACACCTACTCATACGTGTGTGTTAAATGTAGAAGGTTTGTATTGCTAGGCCAGTAGGAGAGTGGATTAAGTACAGGGACACGACCAAGCTTTCTGGGAAACTCACTGTGAACTGTCTGCCTTGCTTTCACTTTGACTCTGAGGTGAGTAAACGGTGCTACCGGGGTCTCCCAAAGAACCATAAGTGGGACATTTCAGATCACTTCCTCATCTTTGTCCCTTCTGGGGGTTATTTAATAAGAAGTCATTCAAGGGGAAAGAAGAACCAAACCTCACACTGCAAATGACTCCAGAATTGTTCATTCACAGGAGTGAAGGACAGTGTGAACAAGAATACTATGAACATGTGGGCTGCCATCCAATACCTTGATCTGTAC